CTTCGCGGGTGAACCGAGCCGGCCCTGGGCCAACCTGTGATGAAACCTCCACACTCAAACCCTCAAACCCTCAAACCCAGGTGCTGACGACCCAAGGTTGTCCCAATAGCTGAAGTGGCCCTACTTCCTTTGGCGAAAGGGATTAATGGTCAACTTCTTCATCTATCCCTCTGTTTTTTATTTGTTTGTTTGTTTGTTTTAAATTCTGGTACTGCATACTTGCGTTTGCCTGTCTGTTTGGTCATTGATCCTCCCCAGGTGAGCCTATAAGCCCACCTAATACACAAACTCCCCTTGACATTCACAAAAGATCATGCGATCCCCTTGAACGATAATCACAATATTATTTATTGATCTCTTTGTATGTCCTAAACACTGTGTCTAGTGCTCTATAGACAGGAACTCACAGTAGTCCTAATAGGACTGTTACTATACCCTCAATTGCTCCCAGGAGTAGACTGAGGCACAGAAATGTTAAGGAACTTGCCAGGGCCATACACCTAAGTGTACAGTGACAACTCAAGCAGAGTGACTCCAGAACCAGTGCTCTTATCCCCTCCACAGCCCCCAATTCAGTTGACTTCTGGTGACCACTTACCGCTGGCATGGAGGGAGGCCTGGCACTGTGGGCCTGTTTCTGGGCATGCCAGGTAGAGAAAAATGAGACCTGAGGGGGGCTGCAGTTTATCATTCCCTAGTGAATGAATGCTCCCTTGAATGCTCCAAGGATTCCAAATCCTCTTCACTGTTCTTAATATCTTGACCGCATGGTCCCCTGGCTGCCTAACTCCTTCTGTTTTACTAAAAGGTGAGAAACTCACCCACCCCAGCTTTTGGTTTCTTCATTTTAAAATGTTCTGTGTTTTTACAGATACTTAGAAATATAACAGTTGAATACAATGCATAAGCTTTGACTGGATCCTAGTTTGGGGAGGAAAATAAAAAAAGCTATAAAAGACATCTGGGGAACAATAAGGGGAATTGAATATAGACCAAGTATTAAAGGATATTACAGAAGGGCCCATTTTGGTGTTGGCATAACACTGGTATCACACTTAAGTAGGAGAATGTTCATACGTTTTGGATTTGCATACTGAGGTATTTGGGGGTGGAAAGTCATGATGTCTGGAGTTTACTTTAAAATTGTTTGACGTATCACACTTAAGTAGGAGAATGTTCATACGTTTTGGATTTGCATACTGAGGTATTTGGGGTTGGAAAGTCATGATGTCTGGAGTTTACTTTAAAATTGTTTGACAAAAAGAAAATATCTTGTTGATAAAGCAAATTCTGGCAAATTTTGAACAGTTTTTGAATTTTAGTATAGGCATGATCCTTATTACTTTTCTGTATGTTTGAAATTTTTCGTGAATAGATAGTTTTCAGTTCTCTTTACTCACTCTCCATTTTTCTTTGCTTCATCTCTTCTAGGAAGAAGTTGTTTCTTCCATGACATGGTTAAGCCCTCACTTGTGCCCTTTGTCAAAACTCTTTACCTCCCATCTTCCAGGTGTTACTCTTAACAATTTCCTCCCATCTCACTTCTAATTAATCCCCTCTATCCTTTCTCCCTATTTCCTTAGAAAGTTATAGAGAATCCATTATTTGAAAACTAAAAACAACCCCCCAAATCTTTATCCTTTCTTTAATTAAGAAAGTGTCTCAAATTTGTTATTAAACTTCTTGAAAGAGCTGCCTATTTAGTAAACTCCTTGTCCAAGGTCACTAACCGTCCATTCAATTATCCACGCAGTGGGGCCATCTGTGCTCCAAGCTCTGTCCTAAATACTTGCTGCGGGATGGGGGAAGAGGAGAGATTGGGGGTAGGATTGGAAGATAAAATATAGAAACAAACATAAAAAAGAAAGATAGAATATAGGCCAGCTAGTTAAATTTGAATTTAAGGTAACAAATTTTTTTATAAGTATGTCCTGCGCAATGTTTAGGACATATTTACAGTAAAAATTATTCATAGTTTATCTTAAATTAAAATCTAACAGCTTTCTGTGTTTTTATTTACTAAATCTGACTTTAGTTTGCAGGGGCAAAAGAAAAAATAGGAGAAATAACTCTAAAATAATTAAAATAAATATAATTAGACCTTGTTGAAGAATTTATATCTATCTGGTTGGGATTAAGAAAATAATTTTGTTAGAATCTGGTTAATTATATCCATTGCATAATTTTTTGTGAACTGGCTCCCCATGTCACCACTCTACTGAAAATGCCTACACTGATACCAATGACCTTATCTTGGAAGTCTCTGTAGCATGTGACACTGTTGACATCTTTCTTGAAATTTCATTCCTCTGAACAGTCTTAGGCTTTTTCCTATCTCTCTAATCATTTCAATCTCATGTTTTTCTCTTCCATCTTCTTCCTAAAAATTGGTATCCTTCTAGGTTCTATTCACCCTTCCCTTCCTTCTATCTGGAAGCAGGAAAATCAAGTAATTGAATACCAATTTGCCAATTAATTATTTGCCACATTTACCAAATTTAGAGATTGTAATGTTCAGTAGTAATACTTAGCAGCTTTACCAAGAAAGATTCAGTGGCATTAACGAAAATACTCAATTAAAGCTACCATTTGTGAAATGTGTGAGTATTTCAATATCAATAACCAAAATAAAATTTAATGTGGGAATTTTTATATGGAACTGTTTTAGCTAATTATGATTTTCTTAAAAAATACTTTTGAATTAAAGTTAAATTAAGTTAACCTAAATTAAATTTAGGGATAATTTCCCTAAAATGTAATTTAAATACATTTTAAGTCAAAATTCTGATTTCCTTCAGATGCTTTTGAATTTATAAATTAAAATAAATATGAAGAATAGGCTAAATAATAGTAAAAGAATGTTAAAATGTTTTTATTATTAAAAAAATTATGAAATGTCATTTAAAAGCATTATGAAAGAAATCAGAAGTAGTTGAAAAATCTTGTCTCATGTTATACACTGAAATTGTGATTTCTAATGAGGAGCCTTTGAAATAGGCAGGCTTTCTGTAGAAAGAACCCATATAGTTTATAACAAAGAGAAAAATGCTTCTACATTTTGGATATACCAATAAAGTAATTAAGAACCCTTTTATGTGGATTTCTGTTTTGCCACATTTTTGACATTTTTAAGATTCTTTCACCAAAGTTTCATGTAGTATATTAACAAGCAAACAACATACAATATTTGATATATAATGTGGTTACTTCTATTGTGTTCTTTTCATTTTTCTACTTATCCCATTACTAATCACATTGTTCAGTATAGCAGTCCCTTCCAGATAGCCTTACCTTCTTTCATACCTAGCTTTTCTATAGTATAGCAGTCCCTTCCAGATAGCCTTACCTTCTTTCATACCTAGCTTTTCTATAGTATAACAGTCCCTTCCAGATAGCCTTACCTTCTTTCATACCTAGCTTTTCTATAGTATAGCAGTCCCTTCCAGATAGCCTTACCTTCTTTCATACCTAGCTTTTCTATAACAAGTTAAACATATATACAAGTCTGTACATGTGTATATATATTATAAACATACATAATACACATATTGCATGTAATAGTCGATATTATACATACATGTATAATTTTTCTTTATATATCACAATCAGTAACCAAAATCAAACAGTCCTGTTAAAGCTGGTAAATATTTCTGTTAAATTATAGTCATTTAATTTGGCAAATTTAATAAATTGGGCATTTAGCAAACTGATCATTTGCCTAATTGACTTCAGCAAAGTTAATCTCCAGCAAATTTGCTTTCTTTCCTGTCTCACAATGCTAAATTTCTTAAGAAGCCAAATACCATAATTTGCATGAGCATCTTCAACAGATTTGTGCCTTTAAATGGTGCCTATTTATATGATAAATAAATGTCCTGAGAGAGATCATACCACTGAGATTTTTAATCTCAAATTATTAAAATAATTGATGGGATAATATCATAATAAATAATCATTGCTTTTAAGTCAAGGGATCAACACTTTTAAAATTTGTCACTTTTTTCACCATACAGGCCAGAAGGACAGGCTATATAACAAGTTAGCTTAAGTTTGCCAGAGTCAGTTTCCATCATTTGCAACCAAAAAAATCCTAATTAGGATGTTGGAAAAATTCAAAATTAATTCTTTCCGTAGCTTATTTTGCCTTTAAAACAGAACCTGCTTATTGTATCAGCTTTACTGATAATCAACTGCTCTGCACTCCCACTTCTGTAAACTGTGCTTGCTTATTGCAATAGCTACGTGAATGCTGAGAAACAAAACGTATTACTGTACTAGCTATATGAATGCTGAGAAAATGAAACCTAAAACCCGGAAGAGCT